CAGGAATTGAGGCCCTGGGAGCAGGCCTGTACATCTGGCATCTGAGAAGCCACATGCTGGCTGTGCAATAGAGGCCTGAAAACCCAATCTCTGGGGCTTCCTTTCCTGCCTCCAAGGATGATAGCGACCCAGCCGCCCACAGGCTGAGAGTCACCCCCGGCTGGGAAGTGCTTTCGGGAAGGTCACTTTGCAGTGGCAATGGCCCTTGTGTCCCCACGGCCAGGGAGGGCTTCCACACTCCCAGGGAATGTCCAGGCAACCTCCACACGGCTTTTCCGTCACGTTTGCTCTGCAGGAGCGAGCTTGCAAGCCTAGGCCTGTCTGCACCGTGCTCGGCTCTTGCGGGCACAACACCGTGGGCGCCCACCTGGAACCTGGGCCTAGGGGCACTACTGGTATTTTTCACCCTGGGAGCCCTAACGGGGGGCGGCCCAGCAACTGCTTGCAAAGCCCTCCCGTGGCTGTTTGCTTCCTCCTGCCAGAGCAAGTTTTGCTCTCCGCTCCGCCATTGGGCACGCCAGGGGCCGGCCCGCCACCCCTAGCCAGGGGTCCATGGGAGGTGCCAGGTACCCTTGGCCAGGTGACCCTGGCATGGCACCCAGCCCCCTCAGATGCATTCCCACAGCCTCCTTCCCCATTGGCAGGATCTCTCTGACCTAGGAATGTGTTTGCAAGGCTCGCAGAGTGCAGGCAGACACCCGGCCCTGACTTGGGAATTGAGGCTCTGGGAGCTGGCCCAGAGGTCTTGTGTCTGAGAGCCACACACTGGCTGCACGACAGAGGCCTGGAAACCCACTTTCTGGGGCTGCCCTCCTGCCTCCAAGGAAGATAGCGTCCCCAGCTGCCTGCAGGCTGATTGTTAACCCCGGCTAGGAAGTACTGGCTGGGAGGTCATTTTGCAGTGAAAATGACCCCTGGGGCCCCATGCCCAGGGAGGGCTCCCACACTCCCAGGGAACGTAAAGGCAACCTCCACACGGCTGTACCCTCACGTTTGCTCTGCAGGAGAGAGCTCACGAGCCTAGGCCTGTCTACACCTTTCTCAGCTCCTGTGGGCAGAACACCCTGGTTGACCACCTGGAGCCCAGGCCTAGGGGGCCCAACTGGCATTTTTCACCGGGGAAGCCCTAACACGGGGCGGCCCTGCAACCACTGGCAAAGGCCTCCCGTTGTTGTTTGCTTCCTTTTGCTAGAGCTAGCTTTGCTCCCCGCTCCAGCATTGGGCACACCAGGGGCCGGCCTGCCACCCCTCTTTGGGGGCCTATGGGAGGTGCCAGATGCCCTCGGCCAGGTGACACTGGCATGGCAACCGGCCCCCTAAGACATACTCCCGCAGCCTCATTCCCCATGGGCAGGACCGTGCTGACTTAATAATGTGTTTGCAAGCCTCACAGAGTGCAGGCAGACACCCGGCCCTGACTCGGGAATTGAGGCCATGGGAGCAGGCCCGGAGGCCTGGCGTCTGAGGAGCCACACACTGGCTGCACGACAGAGGCCTGGAAACCAACTCTCTGGGGCTGCCTTTCCTGCCTCCCAGGAAGATAGCATCCCCAGCTGCCTGCGGGCTGAGAGTCACCCCTGCCTGGGAAGCCCTGGCTGGGAGGTCAGCTGGCAGTGGCAATGGCCCCTGGGGCCCCGTGCTCAGGGAGGGCTCCCACATTCCCAGGGAACGTCCAGGCAACCTCCACATGGCTGTTCTGTCACGTTTGCTTTGCAGGAGCTCGCTCGCGAGCTTATGCCTGTCTGCACTGTGCGGGCAGAACACCCTGGGTGCCCACCTGGAGCCTGGACCTGGGGCCCAAACTGGCTTTTTTCGCCCGAGGAGCCCTAACACGGGGCGGGCCAGCAACTGCTTGCAAAGGCCTCCCGTGGCTGTTTGCATCCTTCTGCCAGAGCTAGGCTTGCTACCTGCTTCAGTTTTTCACAAGCTAGGTGCCAGCCTGCCACTCTTCGCCAGGGGCCCCTTGGAGGTGCCAGGTGCCCTCGACCATGTGACCCCAGCATGGCACCCGGCCCCCTCAGACACACTGCCACAGCCTCCTTCCTCATGGGCAGTACTGCACAGAGCTAAAAATGTGTTTGCAAGGCTCGGAACGTGCAGGGTGCCCTGACTTGGGAATTGAGGCCCTCGGAACAGGTTTGGAGATCCAACCTCTGAGAAGCCAAACCCCTGCTATGAGGAGAGCCCTTAAAACACATTCTGTCACCTGCCTTTCCTTCCTCTAAGCTATATAGCTTTCCCAGTCTCTTGCGTGCTGAGAGTCACAGAGGGCTGGAACGCGCTTGCTTTAATGTCATTATTCAGTGGCAATAGCCCCTGAGGCCCTGCACCTAGGTCGGGCTCCCACACTCACAGGGAAATCAAAGTGACATCCAAATGAGTCAGCTCTTCGCATCAAGTGGCCAAAGTATTAAGAGTTTCAGGTTCATATTAGTCCTTCCAATGTATATTCAGGCCTGATTTCCTTTAGGATGGAGTGGTTGGGTCTCCTTGTAGTCTAAGCGACCTTCGAGTGTGTTCTCCAACACCACAGTTCAAAAACATCAGATCTTTGGCAGTCAACTTTCTTTATAGTACAATTTTCACATCCATACATGACACGAGGGATAAACCATAGCCTTGACTAGATGGATCTTCGTTGGCACAGTAACGTCTCTGCTTTTTAATATGTTGTCTAGTTTGGTCATCACTTTCTTTCCAAGTCATAAGAGTCTTTTTGGAGAAGGCAATGCCAACCCACTCCAGTACTCTTGTCTGGAAAATCCCATGGATGGAGGAGCCTGGTAGGCTGCAGTCCATGGGGTCGCTAAGAGTCAGACATGACTGAGCAACTTCACTTTCACTTTTTACTTTCATGCATTGGAGAAGGAAATGGCAACCCACTCCAGTGTTCTTGTCTGGAGAATCCCAGGGATGGGGTCGCACAGAGTCAGACACGATTGAAGTGACTTAGCAGCAGCAGTAGCAAGCTTCTTTTAATCTCATGGCTGCAGTCACCATCTGCAGTGATTTCCGAGCCCCCAAAATGAAGTCTGCCGCTGTTTGTACTGTTTTCCCATCTATTTGCCATGAAGTGATGAGGCAAGATGCAATGATCTTAGTTTTCTGAATGTTGAGCTTTAAGGTAGCTTTTACACTCTCCTCTTTCACTTTCATCAAGAGGCTCTTTAGTTCTTCTTCCCTTTCTGTCATAAGGGTGGTGTCATCTGTATATCTGAGGTTATTGATATTTCTCCTGGCAATCTTGCTTCCAGCTTGTGCTTCATCCAGCCCAGTGTTTCTCATGATGTACTCTGCATATAAGTTAAATAAGCAGGGTGACAATATACAGCCTTGACATATTCCTCTTCCTATTTGGAACCAGTCTGATGTTCCATGTCCTGCGACCCCATGGACCGCAGGATGCCAGGCTTCCCTGCCCATCACCAACTCCCGGGGCTTGCTCAAACTCATGTCCATTGAGTCAGTGATGCCATCCAACCATCTTATTCTCTGTCGTCCCCTTCTTCTCTGCCTTCAATCGAGACTATTGTAGACAGATATTTTAAAGTATAATTATTTTTGATAGTTTATCTAAAAGCTCATATCGCATTTACATTTTTTAGGAGTTTTTTTGTTTGTTTTTAGAGGTACTTTCTTTGCTGACAAGCTTGTGACAGATACAACAATTAGCAGCATTTAGCTCATGATGAACCGGGCACTGCGAACAGTGTATGCTTAATGTTAGTGGCTCTTAGATGTGTCTATGTTAGAGCAGCGGAAAATAATACTAGATATTTAATACTGACTATTTCCCAGCTCACATGAATCTAAAATTCATTCAGGTCAATTTTTTCTTGTATTTAGAACTGTTTGATTTGTAAGGCTTCCTGTTCTTTAGATTATTTAAATAAGAACTCACAACTTCAGCAATATTATAAAAAAACAGAAGACTCACACTGAGACATACATAAATCCACACAGACAGACAGATCTTCTAGTTTTCCGCCTAAGATTTAAAATACCTCTTTGACCTCCTTTTTGCAGGGGGTGGGGGGTGGGGGCTTGAAGTTCTCATTTGCCCAAGGCTGAGGTCTCAGGCAAAGTGGGCATTGTTTTTCAAGGAAAGGGTTAACTTCAAGCTTTGCCCTAGGCAGGCCTTTTAAACAAGGTAATTGTTTTTAATTGCATATGCAAAAGAACCAGCTTTACAGTTTCCAAGAAAAAAAATTTTTTTAAATTTTAACCAATTTTTTCTGGTTCTATAGAATATCATGGCTATCCTAGGTCAGGTCATCTTTCCTTTCTGTTGTCATAGTTTTATCCCTGAATTATAGACAGATCAGCTGACAAGGTTTCCATAGTTGAACCTGCGGAAGGATCATTAACATGGTCAGTTCGAAGAGCCGCGCTGTGGCCTCACCTCGTTCCACCCGGCTCGTGAGCCTCTCCTCCACCCTTGCGGCGCGGGATGGGAAGGAAGGGAGGGAAGGGCCTCTGGAAGGCAGCGCGCCCCGGGCGGGCGGTTGGGTCTGGTGGCCTTTCCGGTGGTAGGGGATGAGGGGCCGCGCGAGAAGGTGGGGGGCGGCGTGCAGAGTGGGGGTCCGGTGGGAAAGGCGGCTCTCCTCCGCCTTCCCGCCCTCCCCTCCGCACCTCCATCCCAGGCCGGGCACCCCGCCACCCTTACCCCGCGATCCGGGGTGGCGTCGTCTCCGGTGTCCCTCTTCCGCCCGACCTCCCCGCCACGTTCCCTCGAGGTTGGGTCCGAGGGTTGGGGGCGGGGGGAGCTGCTCAGCGCGCCCCCACCCCACTCCACGCGCCTTTGCCCGTGGCGCTGGCCACGGCTGCCTTCCCCCTGGCCGCGGACCGCACGGTGCAGATCCTCGCGGCCTGTGCGGCGTGACGGATGGCGGCTCCCTGCCGCGGGGCCGCTTGCCTGCCCGTCGCCTCCCGCCGCTGGCCCTGGACCGGTCTGCCTCAGCCGGTCGTCCGCTGCTCTGGGCCTGCCGCGCGGTCGCCAGGCGTCTTCCCACGCCTTCCGAGCCTCGGGGCTTGCTCCCAACCCCCCACCCCCCCCACCCCACGCCTCTCGCTGCTGTCAGGTCGGTTCTCTCGCCCTCTCACCTCGTCGTGGCCCCTGCCCGCTTGGCGCCACGCTTCCCTTCGGAGCCCCTTCCCTCTGCCATTGGTGGTGGGGGGAGGGCGCCTGGGACGCGGGCCCGGGTAGGGATCCCGGTGGTTGAGGGGAGAAGACGGGGTCCCGGGGGGCAGCCGTACGGGTGTGCGAAGTGGTGGGGGAGGGCTCCGCCCCGTTTCTGGGGGATGTGGGGGTGGTCGTCTGGCGTCGGCGGGGACCTCTGGGCGGCGGTCGACCGGCGCATGGTGGGGCCCCCATGCGTCACGGGCCGGCAGCGCTGAGGCCGCGGGGACGCGGTGGTGGTCAAAGTCGGGGCGGTGGCCCGTGGGGCGCGCCGTGCGCCTCGCCCGCCTCCCCCTTTCCAGGTACCTAGCGTGGGGCTTCCCTGGTGGCTCAGGTGGTAAAGCTTCTGCCTGCAGTGCGGGAGACCCGTGTCCGATCCCTGGGTTGGGAAGATCCCCTGGAGAAGGAAATGGCAACCCACTCCAGTACTCTTGCCTGGAAAATTCCATGGACGGAGGAGCCTGGTAGGCTACAGTCCATGGGGTCACAGAGAGTCGGATACGACTGAGCGACTTCACTTCACAGCTGATAAAAAGCTTGGTTGTCTCGTTGGGGTGGATTTGCTCCTGGATGGATTTCACCTGGCGGCAGTAGCGAGGCCCGCCGGCCTCTCCTGGAAGTGGGCGTGTGGGCGGAGCATACTTGGCCCGCGTTGGGGGCGGAGCGCGTCTCCTCCGAGCTCTTAGGCAGTGGGTCCCAGGTCTCAGGGGTCTCCATTGCGACAGGGAATGCCCATTTCGTGGGCTCCTGCGTCCCCATCCATCGGCATCCAGTGAGCGGAGCAGAGGGTTGTGGATCACAGGTAAGGGAACTGGGACCCGGTGGCTTAGGGTGGAGCAGGGAACCACGTATTCCGCCCTCTCTGTTGGCACAGTCTCGGAGCCCCCTAACCTGGAGGTCGCAGAAGGGCCTCGCCACTGGGGTCAAGGCCTTTACCACTTTACCCCTTCGCATAAAGCTCAGACCCGCTGGTTTTCCCAAGCAGCCTAGTGCCTGCAGCGAGGTCCCCAGGAAGTCCAAGGGAATTTATCCTGCCTGGTGATTTCACCTGCTGGGACTGCACAACCCTCAGTCTGGCCGGCTGGCCCAGCCCTGCTCTGGGCACTTTGCAGTCCAGCAGGCCCTTGGCCACCTGCTGGGATGGGAAAGGGAAGGGTCCATGAATTGCACCCTGGAAACTTAGTAGGGCGCATGGATTTAAAAACCTGGTGGCCACTCAGGCAGGAAAGGGAGGAGGGCACCCTGCTGCCCTTTCATGGGGGAATCTGTGGCTGTCCTGCTGAGAGGGGGCCTTTCCATGGGGACCCTGTGCAATAAGGGTGGTGTTTTGGAACTGAATAATTAGAACGTGTAAAAACTTTAAATTATGTGGTGCTTTAATTAAAAAAAAATCTCCAAAGGTTTTGCAAATTGAGGTCTAAAAATTGAAGGCCTGTTTTCCTTCCACTGTGGCATTCTATGAAGAAATGTGCGTGTTTTTTTTTTTTTTTTTTTTTTTTTAAGAAGAGAGTCAGAAAAGTGAGGGAAACAGAAAAGCCAGAGGTGCCCCTGTAGTTTGGTGAAGGCCTTAGGAGCTCACTTGTGAATGCTGCTGGCCGTCGGGAGGCAGGCTTTTGTGACCGATGGGCACAGAGCTCTGCAGGCTTGTCCTCTGCATGGGTGTTCTTGTTTGTGGAAATCCAGCTCGGAGCCATCTCCTGATGGCTCTGAGAATTTCCCAGACTAGACCCCTAGGCAAATCCCGCAGGGCCAGGGACTCCTTCCTTCACTGTATTTGTCTGTTTGACTGAAAAGCAGCAATGCCATATTTTTCTTTAAATCTGGTCTATCATCCAGGTCTTGGAGTAATATTTCCCATCCCTCTCAATAGGCTTGAGTTCCAGGAATGAATTACAGTCAGTTGTCCATGATTTTACAGATGAGGAAACTGAGACCCAGAGAGGGTGGAGGACTGTCCAAGGGAGAATGGGATATCCTTCCAGGAGCCCTGGCTCTTGGGTTTTTAATGAGCTTCCTACCCTGTGTGGTTATTAATTGGCAAGTGTTGACATTGAGAATAAACTGTTGGTGGAAGTGTAAAAGGCTCTTTAAAAGAATGTGCCTACCAGCTGTGCATCTAATGGAGTATCTTCATTATACTTCCCAACCCTTGGAAAGTGCTGGGCACAGGGCAGATGCCTCATCATTTTTATTGAATAAGTTCAATTTCACACAATTATATCCATAGTGTCAGCAACACTATGAGGTATATTAGAACAGTGATCATCACAGTTGATACTTCACAGATCAGTAAAGAAAGAAAACTTTTTCTTAGGAAGACTGTAAAAGAATTGCTAAGTTTTAAGTTTATCCCACAAGGCTATTAAAAAAAAAAAAGAAACAAATCTCTCCAATCATCACCAAGGCTATTGGAGGTCTGTTGAGGACCCCATGCAAGGGAGGTTCTACCTCTTGGGACACCCCTGCTTCAGCATCTCCCTAAGCCAGCAACCTGGGACTGCTGAGTACATTTGAAGTTCCTTCCTTGACCTTGGGAGTTTTTTTTGGAAGACAGTGTTTTGACAGACAGGGGTGGGGGAAGGTTTTGGGATGTTTCAAGTGCAGTCCATTTATTGTACTCTCTTATTTCTATTTCTGTTCCCTGGTGGCTCCGTTGGTAAAGAGTCTGCCTGCAATGCGGGAGATCAGGGTACAATCCCTGGGTCTGGAAGATCTCCTGGAGAAGGAAATGACAGCCCACTCCAGTATTCTTGCCTGAAGAATTCAATGGACTGAGGAGTCTTGTGGGCTACAGTCAGTAGGGTCACAAAGGGTTGGACACAGTTGAGTGACCAAACACTTATTTCTGTTATTATTTCATCAGCTCCACCTCAGATCATCAGGCATTAGATCGTAGAGGCTGGCCCCTGCTTTAGTTCCCTCTTTCATCTTCTACGCAGCTCCAGCCTGCTTTCTCCTCCTCTTCCACTTGCAGAAGTACCTGCTGGGCTTCTCTGAATGTGACTAAGAATCTCCTTCCCTCACTTCCTTTTCTCTGAGTCCCTTCCTCTAACTGGGTTTCCCTGTTCTCCATTTAGACACTTTTGCCCCAGGTGGTGCTAGTGGTAAAGAACCTACCTGCCAATGCAGGAATTTGATCCCTGGATTGGGAAGATCCCCTGGAGGAGGGCATGGCAAACCACTCCAGTATTCTTGCCTGGAAAATTCCCATGGACAGAAGAGCCTGATGGGCTCTGACAGTCAGATGTGACTGAAGCGACTTAGCGCAGCACACCAGAGGACCTTTGAGCTGCAGACTCCTGTGATTGTTTTGGCTCTTTGGAGTCCCTTGTCATTCCACGTGTATGTGAGGGTCAGCTTCTGTATTGCTTCCTAAAGGCCTGGAGAGGGTAACAGGAAGGAAGGCCAGGGGTCTCCAGACAGAGAAAATAGGTTGCAAGTGTCAGATGTTTTTTTAATCTCTCTCTTAAGAGGCAGGGAAACAAACTAGTGTTACATTTTTTCCCCTCTGGATACAAATTTAAAAAGAGGTTTCTCTTAAAATTCTGTGTTGCCAAGATGACTCCTGGCTCCACCTGAATTTAACTTTTCTCAAACCTTGAGCTAAACAATGCATTTTTCATATGGAAATGTTTGTCTTAAGTATGTTAATGTACTATGTATTTACCCTAGATTCTGTCTTCAAGTCGGTTCCTCCTAAAGGCTCAGAACCAATTTGACAAACCAGTATGTTTTACTCATACCTTGTTTTCCTAATCTATGTTAATGAAACTATATATTTGCTTGGAAATCTGCCTTTTTTCAAGATTCATGTCAATCATTTTATGGCCTGGGATGACTCACCTGCTGCCAGTGTTATCTCAATGCATGTTGTGGGTGAGGGGCCTGGTGCCATTCTCTGAGACATTGCCTTTCTTTAATTAGCAGACTGCTAGTGGCTGTATAACATCTGGCTGAAGACTAGCAGGGGGTAGTCTATGTCAGCAGCTTTCTCTATCTCTTTTATACTCTAATAAAACTTTATGACACAAAAGCTCTGAGTGATCAAGCTTCATTGATGGCCCTGAATTGAATTCTTCTCCTCTGGAGGCCAAGAATCCTGGCATTTTTCATGGTCTAGCCACAACCTTTCAGCCTTTTGTAATGCACATTGAATCTTCATTTCAGATTGAAGATGCATTCCATGGTGTTGCCATCCTAAGTCTTTCCATCACTATGGAATATGTGTGCATATATCTAGGACATTTGTCAACAATCATGTAGAATTTCCAGTGTGCCAGTCTTGTCATCCTCATTACATCCGTGGCAAAGTATTTTATTAATGTTGACATTATTGAAAGGGAATTGTTTTTAAAAATTCCTTTTCAGATTGTTATTTGCTAGTGTGTACAGATAAAACTGTGTAATCATTCATTTTTATCAGTTTGAACAGCTTGATAGTTGTCTTCACTTTCTTTCTCATAATTTAAGATTACCCTGGCTCATATATTTACTGTTTCACCTCTAGTCTCAGTCATTCCTTCAAAGAACTTCTGTCCATATTTTTTAAACATTGAATTATTTTTGACTATGCTGGGTCTTTATTGCTAGTTTGTCTAGTTGTAGTGAGCAGAGGCTACCCTCTAGCTGCCGTGCCATGGCTTCTCATTGCAGCGCTTTCTCTGGTTGCAGAACTTGGGCTCTGGAGCATTCAAGCCTCAATAGTTGTACGGGGGCTTAGTTGCCCCCGGGCATGTGGAATCTTCTAGGACCAGGGATTGAACCTGTGTTCCTTGCATTGGTAGGCAGATTCTTTACCACCGGGCCACCAGGGACATTTCCTGTTCCCTTTTATTAGAGAATGATATTTAAAACATACATGTAGGAGCTAAATATGCTCAGCTGACAATACATGGAAATATATACATGTATTCCAACTTACCTTTGAACATATTCAGTTAAAGGTAATGTGTGATGATGTCTCCATAGATATTGTAACCTCTCCTTTT